AGAATGGATGGAGAGTTACAAAAGTTTTCGGACTTAAGTACTTCTGTTCTACTTGCAGCAGGACATCTACCAGCAGCATCCTTAATCTCATTGACCTTTTTTCTGATAGTGTACATTTGTACTTTGTGCCAGTCACAACTTATGAATTAAAATATTGCTGTGTTGCTCCTTAAAATTACTATTTGTATCCCTTTTAACCTAAGAAATTAAATTTAACCAATATTTCTACGATTCTGTAATTAAGATTAAAAACCACTGTCTCTACTACACTGGTATTACTGGAAAATAGTAAAGATTCCTTTGAGGTATAGGAGGGTTCATGGCATCTCAGAAAGACAGCTTACTATATCTGAATTGTGAGGATGTTTCCGATGACAAAATGTGTTGTCAACTGTGCAGAAAATAGTAAGTTTTGGATGCTTCAAAGTTTCCATAATACAGAATATAGTCTATTTTGGGAGTACAAAGACTCTCTCCTCCCGTGTTCTGAGACACCTTTTTGGCCACAGGGAAGGCCAATTGGCAGCACCAATAAAGAACTGTGGTCTACTGCTAGCACTTCTCAGGAGTGTATGTATGGCCAGTGTTAAAACCACTAGGAACACAAAGGGGTGAAGGGAGGGAGACATAGCAGGGCCAGGCTGTGCATTAGGGAAAAACGTTACTAGTATTCTATCGTGAATGTTGCAGTACTGTAGTATGTCAGAGTTGGATAATTTTGACAATTATTTGGGTATCACATGGAATAATGACTGTGGAAAAAAGACTTTTTCAGGTTGACTTAAAGGTGATGCGAAACTGTTTCCTGAACTTCAGCAGTAGCATGTTTCATGTTTGTTTTGAAAAAGACTACCTGCTCATACACAGACTGGAGTACCATTTAGACACTCCTCTCCGCTGGCTTTCTCCCATCCTTATAGTTGGAATTTATTCCAATTAATAATGAATATTTTCAGTAAACACAACATACAAAATACAGTGCTACAACATACATTGTTCATTTTCTACCAATATTACTGGGTTGGGCACTCAGTGTAGCATTTCACAGTAATATGTTAACTGTATGTTTTGTTCTAGTGTATCATCTTTGCGGTTGGCCTACAGAGATCTTGATATTAAAACAAAAGAAGAAAAGTTAAATCTCTCTGGTAAGAAGAAAAATGAATTGGAGAGACTTGGCATGGGATTTGGCAGCAACAGAAGGTATGTGAATTTCTATAAATTGTATTTAAAATTCTCTGACTTTATGCAGTTATCCTTCATTTTAGTTAGGAAATGAAAATATATACTGAAGTCTGTTATGGAAACATAAACAATAGCATCAAAGAATCTAGTATTTGTCAGGGGGAAGGGGCAAGATTGCTTCTGATAGATTTAAGCTCTAACCTGCCAGAGAGGTGTTAAGTCGCAGGATGTCTGTAGGGTGTTTGCCTTCCTTCGCTAGCTGGCTGTGAGGATGGTAGCCAGGATGCCTTCTGTGAATAGTACCAACCTAAGTATAGTCTTTTTCAAGCCAAAACTCTGAAAAAGTCATGTTGCTGTTTTCCAGCTGTTGGAATGGTCTGTGTGTTCAGAACTCTTGTCACTACTTCAGAGAACTACAGTTGAGTTTTCCAGGGTGCTTTTTTTTTTTTTAATTCCTCCTTTCTTCTTAAATTTTTGTATAGCTTGGGCTTTATCAGCAAGCTTCAGAAACTAGATTTGGGCTTTCATTTCTTTTTTTTAGGGTGTGAGCTTTGTCATCTCTTTACATACTTATTTTCTTCCTGTCCCCAGTGGCATTTCTCATTCAGTAACCTCAGATATGCAAACAATAGAGCAGGAAACACCTGCCATTGCAAAGCCGAAGAAGAAGTACACTGACGATGCAGAAGATTCATATTTCTCTTCTAGTTCAAGGTAATGTGTAAGCTTTCTATTTTGAGTGGGGTAGAAGTGTATGCAAGTTATGTATTCAAATACATACCATATATTTGGAACTTAAGATCAAAACAGAAGACAATTGGACATGTCTGCACACCTAGTATATTTTCAGGGGACATCTGAATCAGAAAAGTTGTGAAATAATTGACCTTACCTTGATGACAGATGTATTTATAAAGAAGAGTTACTTTTTCCGAGGAGAGGGTAGTCTGAATTACACGTTTACCGGTTTTGTCTTGTTCACCATTTAGTTTCTATTTGCACAGACAGTTGCCATATAAGCTTTTGTTTGCTGTATAATGAATCCAGTGAATTTCTTGTCAGAATGACTTGTGTTCGATTTTGGTTTGGATTTTTGGTTTTGGGGTTTTTTTTTCATTTTTTTCTTTCTTGTGGTACTCTCTGTGGTGGGTTGACCCTGGCTGGAGGCCAGGTGCTGACCAAAGCTGCTCTATCACTCCCCTCCTCAGCTGCACAGGGGAGAGAATGTCTAATAAAAGGTTCATGGGTCGAGATAAGGACAGGGAGAGATTACTCACAAATTACTGTCACCCGCAAAACAGACTTGACTTGGAGAAAATTAATTTAATTTATTACCAATCAAATCAGAGTAATGAGAAATAAAACCAAATCTGAAAACACCTTTCCCCCACCCCTCCCTTCTGCCTCAGCTTAACTTCACTCCCAATTTCTCTACCTCCTTCCCTCCCTGCAGCACAGAGGGACGGGGAATGGGGGTCGTGGTCAGTTCATCACACGTTGTCCCTGCTGCTCCTTCCTCCTCAGGGGGAGGACTCCTCACACTCTGCCCCTGCTCCAGTGTGGGGTCCCTCCCACGGGAGACAGTCCTCCACCAACTTCTCCAATGGGAGTTCTTCACACAGGCAGCAGTTCTTCATGACCTGCTCCAGCATGGGTCCCTTCCATGGGGTGCAGTCCTTCAGGAGCAGACTGCTTCAGTGTGGGTCCCCCACGGGGTCACAAGTCCTGCCAGCAAACCTGCTCCGGCGTGGGCTTCTCTCTGCACGGGTCCACAGGTCCTGCCAGGAGCCTGCTCCAGCGTGGGCTTCCCACAGGGTCACAAACTCCTTCAGACATCCACCTGCTCTGGCCTGGGGTCCTCCATGGGTTGCAGGTGGACATCTGTTCCACCATCATCCTCCGTGGGCTGCAGGGGGACAGCCTGCCTCACCATGGTCTTCTCCAGGGGCTGCAGGGGAATCTCTGCTCCGGTGCCTGCAGCTCCTCCTCCTCCTCCTTCTTCTTCACTGACTTTGGTGTCCGCAGACTTGTTCCTCTCACATGTTCTCACTCCTCTCTCTGGCTGTGATTGCTCTTGGTGTTGCACAGAGGTTTTTCCCCCTTCTTAACTACGTTATCCCAGAGGTGCTACCACCGTCGCTGATAGGCTCAGCCTCGGCCAGCACCAGGTCCATCTTGTAGCCAGCTGGCATTGGCTCTGTCAGACACAGGGGAAGCTTCTAGCAGCTTCTCACAGAAGCCACCCCTGTAGCCCCCCGCTACCAAAACCTTGCCACACAAACACAATACAACTGTCTTCAACTTTCAAATTCCAATTTAACAAGTGTCGAAGTCTGATAATAGATATACTACAGTTGCATCAGTCTTTTAACTGTGTGTATGCCAATTGCAAAAAATTAAATCTTTTTGGGGTATTGTGTGTCAGATCATAGAATCATCATACAATCATAGACTGGTTTGGGTTGGAAGGGGCC